TGGCTATTCCAAGCTCTATCATTGCAGTCAGCGGGTGTTGCAGTGCTTCAGTCCAAAAGAAGTTAAATAAAAAGCGCCATCCATAAAAAAAAAGGGTCTCACACAGCTCCGGGGGGGGAACAAAGGCCTCCTGCAGTGAATCAATGGGTTTTTGTAAGAAAAATATCCATATTCAAAACGTAATAATCACTTGAATTTAGCTTGCGCTCACTGTTGTAAACTGAAGCAGCTCCGGGAGGATGACGTACGAGGTCAGCGTTGCGCATGCGCCGGTGAGTCTCGTGAAAACCAACGTTTGTTTACAGGAGCAAAGGAAGCAAAGTTTCCTTACTTTAGCAAAGGAAAACCAGTCTCCTCTTGGCTTGAAATCCTCCGACATTCTTCTTTACAAATCCTCGTTTTGTACTTCTAATTAGTGACCGTTGTTTTGTTTTGATCTCTCCGCTGCGTTTCCGTGTGTGTCACTTCTGAGCGGCGCAAAGCCGATCTCATAGGTCAATTCACCCGGAGCTGCTTCTGTTTACAACAGTGAGCACAAGCTAGAGTCAAGTGATTATTACATTTTGAATATGGATATTTTTCTTACAAAAACACATCGATTCGCTACAGGAGGCCTTTGTTCACACTTTGAGACACTTTTTTTTTTATGGATGGGCGATTTTTATTTCACTTCTTTTGGACTGAAGCACTGCAACACCCGCTGACTGCAATGATAGAGCTTGGAAGAGCCAGGACAATTTTTAATATAACTCCGACTGGATTCGTCTGAAAGAAGAAAGTCATATACACCTAGGATGCCTCTGGGGTGAGTAAAACACAATTTTAATTTTTGGGTGAACTAACCCTTTAAAGGCACATGAATTGTATCATTTAATTTTTTTAAGGATGGAGAAAGACGATTTATTGGTGCTGTTGTCAGGAAGAGAATTCGCATGGCCAGGTACTTTCTGTACAAAACATTCTCAAAAAATCAGTAAAAGTGAAAACTTAAATCTTTAAATTCTTCATTGTTTAAGAAACATACCTAATTTATCTTTCCAGAAAACACATTCTGTACTCAGGAAATGAGGGACCAATTTCTGTGCCTTGGGACAGAAGTAATCAGGTACCACAAAAAATAAAATAACAATCATTCAAAAGAAAATAGTCAATGCCTAAATTGAGATTTCAAATAGAATAAAATAATTAGCTTTTAATAAATAAATACATTTAATAATTTTGCTTATTTAAAAAAATATATATTTTTGTAATTATATTGAGGTATTATAAATGATACTGAAGTGATAAATATTTCAAACATTGCTTCAAACACTAGTGTGCTACCAGTGGAATTCAGTGAGTGGTAGATTTAGACAATTTTGTGCAAAAATGTCACTTCTAGAAGTGTGATCAAATGAAAAAGACTACAGATCATTATTGATATCATTTCCACATGAAATGGAGCGCGTTACATTATAGGATACTGTTTTCCACATAATGGCTGCATCTGAAATCTCATACTTCCCTACTATATAGTAGGCGAAAAAGAGTATGTGAAAAGCGTAGTTTGTCCAAATGCACAGTGTTCATAAAACAGTAGGGGAGAAGTACCTGAATGACTTTCTAAGGAGATTCTAAAGTGTGCTTATAATAGACACTTTACTATCCCATGAGGCCACAGGAGAGGATTTGTGAAGGTCACACATACACCTAGATTATATTCATACTACACATTCATACCATATAGAACGCAACTTTGATTGGTTGCAAAGTAATTACTTATTCAAAAGTACATACTCGGAGAGTATGAGATTTTGGATGCAACCAATGTGTTCTAGAAAAACAGAAAGCTCCCTTAACAGTATACATGCTGCATACTACATACTGCTTATTCCAAACATACCCATTGTTATTGAGCAGGACAAACGTTCTGTATGTGTAACATCTCTGCCCTCTGCAGGTGTATTTGGGCTATAACAATGTGGCAGCTCTCACAGTCTTAGCTGGAAAGCGAGGCTGGGAGGCCAGTAACATCAATGATAAGGTCAACACGTTATTTATTCTAGATGATGCATCTGTTTATGTCTAGTATGTGGCTAGCATGCTGAATTTACTTGTGTTCCGCAGGTAGGAGCCTACGTGCATGAGGAGGCAGATAAGCTGAGTTTAAAAGTTGAGATGAAGGTCAAAACTACGGCTTTTTATGCTTTCTCGCTGCTCGCTGACCTGCGGTTACGGCCACAGTGGGACAAAAACTATTTGTAGGCTAATAAGAGTTTGTTACATCCCTCTATCTTAAATGTATTGTGCTAAAAGTTTAGCAATTACATAAAATTGTTTTTCACAGTCTACATCCTTCCGTATGTCCTCCAGGAGCTGTGAAGAGGTCGAGAAAGCAGATGAGGAGGAAACCATTTATCACATTAAATGCACCACTGTCAATGGAAGCAAAAGTCGGGACTTCGTGGTTCTGTTGTCTAAAAGGCAACCCTGTAAAGATGGGTATGATTCCACTGCTAACATGAGTGATTCTGTTTTGGATAAACAAATCTTTAATGTTATGAAAGGAATAGTTCACCCAAAAAATGTGGATACTGTATTCCACATAATGGCTGCATCTGAAATCTCATACTTCCCTACTATCGAGTAGGCGAAAAACAGTATGTGAAAAGCGTAGTTTGTCCAAATGCACAGTGTTCATAAAACAGTATGCGAGAAGTACCTGGATGACTTAATACTTTCTGTGAGATTCTAAAGTGTGCTTATAATAGACACTTTACTATCCCATGAGGCCACAGGAGAGGATTTGTGAAGGTCACACATACACCCAGATTATATTCATGCCATATAGAACGCAACTTTAAATGGTTGCAAAGTAATTACTTATTCAAAAGTACATACTCCGAGAGTATGAGATTTTAGATGCAACCAATGTGTTCTAAAAGGCAACCCTGCAAAGATGGGTATGATTCCACTGCTAACATGAGTGATTCTGTTTTGGATAAACAAATCTTTAATGTTATTAAAGGAATAGTTCACCCAAAAAAAGAAAATTTGCGAAAACTTTACTCACCCTCGAGCTGTCCAAGATGTAGATGAGTTTGTGGTTTATGTTTGTTATTGGAAGAGATTTATTTTCGCATTCCATCACTTGCTCACCAATGGATCCTCTGCAGTGAATGGGTGCCGTCAGAATGGGAGTCCAAACAGCTGATAAAAACATTAAAGAAATCCACAAATAATCTACACACCACAACAATGGACTGGAGTGGTGTGGATTACTTGAGGATTATTGGGAGGCTTTTATCAGTTGTTCGGACTCTCATTCTGACGGCACCCATTCACTGCAGAGGATCCATTGGTGAGCAAGTGATGTAATGCTAAATTTCTCCAATTCTCTTCTAATAAAGAAACAAACTCATCTACATCTTGCATGACCTGAGGACATTTTTTTCATTTTTGAGTGAACTATTCCTTTAATGTGAGGCTCAAACTGTATTTTTACCATCATAGAGACCCGTATGTCATAGCACTCCGGTCCGTCACCGTAGCAACAGTTCCACCGGAGGAGAACTCTATTCGGAGCGAAGTTAAATGTGCAGGATTCCTCGTTCACGAAATAGGCTATTCAACCTGCAAGGTACCAGCTATAACATCTGAAACTCGATAAAACATCACTCTCATGCTCAATCTGATCATTTCTGGTTGCTGTTCTAGGTGTCGTACTACAACCAGGTGACCTCTGGAGTGCTGCCCTATGTGGAGGGAAACATAGCCGGCTGGTCCAAATCTATGGAAGAGACGGCAATGTCCTGCATTTCATTTCTGGAGCAAGATTTGCTGACCACACAGTTCTGATGTGCAACATTAGGACAATTCTAGGACAGTTGTTTAAAAATAAGGTTATGATAACAACTGCCATGATTGTGATCATAAAAATTGTCAGTTATGGCATTGCATGTATTTCTGAAGGCCCATTTACACCAAGAATGATAACTGTAAAGCCAATTATAATGGTATCTGTATTAGATATTAAGAATTATAGTTGTAGTGTGGACTTCACTATTCTCATAGTATTATTAGAACAATTATTTAAATGACCGTTTATAATTTTTGTCTTTGGCATCAACAGGTCTGAAGGCTGCCGATAAAACCATAACTATCTATGGTACAATATGCATCATATGACTAAACATGCATTATCCTTTTCACAGTCCACACTCTTCAAAGTGTCTGAGGCCATGATAAAATCTGTGATGATTAAATAATTGTGAAAGTTGTCAATTACAGCATTGTATTTAGGGCTTAACCGGCTCCATCCAAGTTTTGCATTTACAGCGAGTTCAGACCTTAAGTGAGAAGTCAATTAAAAAAAAAGATTTTTGTATAAACAAATCAAATAATTCAAGAATAAAGTCATCAGATTGTTTTGGATATGTAGCTACATGAAGAAAATGACATGCAGTTGTATTTTGATGTCAAATTAAAATTAATTGGTATTGTAATATTAATAGAAATATTGGTTGGACCCCTAGTGGTCCTTGACATAAGGCCAGGGGGTCCGTATAAAGTATGAATTTTTGTATAAATGTTGTATATTTTGACATGACATGTTCCCATGAAAGAAAAATCCAATATAGCTGATGATATGGCCAAATACTGGACAAGTCAACTAACTTGAATTATACTTGACTGCATTTGGTCCTCACAAAGACACAAATGATACATAGATGAGTCAATTTTGTTCTGGGGGTCCTTGAGGATGGTTCTGAATTGGACTGGGGTCCGGTACGCCAAAAGGTTGAGATTCACTGCGCTAGAGGGCCAAAAGTTACATGAAGTAATATGGCCTACACACACACTTCACAACACTCTTTTATAGAGTATATTTGTACAAAGTGTCTTATAAATAAACGCTGCTTTTCATATTCAGATTCTCTTCTCTTTCTTAAGCATACATCATGATTAAAACTTAAATTTCTAAGTCAAGCACAAATGTGATGTTCACAAGTCTCAGGCAATTTCATCATGAGGACCTTTAATTGCAAGTAAATGCTCTCAAAACAGGAAGGGTCACTTTTGTTTGTGTCTAAAATCATCAGAGGAAGACGGTCAATCATCGGTGAGTCCATAACTGCAGAAAGCAAATCTAAATTGCAACAATCAGTTAAATAGTCCATTGCTATATTTCCCCTCAAAACAGCTGTGGATCAGAACACCACTACCTTGTCTTTTTTGGGTTGTGCTTTCTTCACAGGCACATGGACGTCCTCGTGGTCGGCGCTGATTCTATTGGACAGCCGGCCGAGGGTGATGGAATTAGCTGCAAAAAAGAAGTTAATGTAGCGGTTTCCATTTCAGTTAAAGAAGATACCAGATTTTCAGTGGACATGGTCACATTATTAACTGATCAACTCACTCGAGTTCTGGTGTTCAGGACAATCTTTCTGAAAGTGTTCCACTGAACCACAAACCCGACAGCAACCGCCTACAGGAGCAAAACACCACAACATGAGTGTTAAAATTAGGGCTGCACGATTAATCGAATGTGATTGTCATGCGCATTTTGATAGTAATGCCGGTTCTGTAATCGGCAGGAAATCATCATCACGTGCTTTCAGATGGAGCAGAATTTACTACACATAGCCGTAGTTTACTGACAAGTTACGCAAAAAAAAAAAAAAAACCTACGGCTCTGTGAGGTAAATGCTGCTCCATCTGAAAGCATGTGAAAATACCACATTTAATAACATATTTTTACTCCAAACTCACTTCATAATGTCAGTGGAGTGTTTGAAATAAATCCTTCTGTGAGATGACGTGGCTTCTTACACAGAATAAGGCACGCAACATATTTCCTATTCTAAGCAGTGATAAAGGCATTGCATTATAAATATACTTTATTTTAATGAAAATTATAATAAGAACTCAGATAAACCGTATATTGCCGTAGTCGTGTGTTTATTAGTCACGTTGAATCAATGAAAGCAGTTGAATCTTCTGTTTATTCAGCTGCAGCGAAAAGAAACCCTTTTTCTAGGTTTCTTCTGCGAGGCGTATTTGGAGTTTCAGCGCGAGAGCACCCTCTGGCCTTTGGATGGAGATTTACTGCTGATCACAGAACCGTGCTTCACTGAAAGATACGCATGACAATCGCAGCTTCTGTCGAATCGCGATCTCGATTCCATTTCGATTTGTCGTGCAGCCCTAGTTAAAATTCACAGATATTTAGTGCTTAAACAGGTAAATCACTGACCTGCAGCATACAGTCCCTTTGGGTTATCAGGACAGGCCTTTGACAGATGTCCAGTCTGACCGCAGATAAAACACTTGGCATATGGGTAATTACCTAGAAAAGAGCTGCATTAATATGACAAGTCATAGCAGGTTTGATTTTTTTTTTCTCACTTTAAGTGTCCAAAAGTCTCATTCAACTCGTACCCATGGCAGGATCCACTTTAGCACGACATCTCTGGATCTCATGTTCAGTGGAACCACACCGATAACAGATCCCGCGGCCCATCTCTTCATCGTTATCCGCCTCTGGGCAGTCAGCGAGACCGTGACCAGGCTTCCGGCAGTTGAAGCAGATCTAGATTGAAAATATGAGAAAATGTGTCAGATATTTCATTGTAGACTATCTATGGAAGCTTATTTCCACCATGGAATAATAAAGTAAAACATTTAATTGCAACAACTTCATCTCACAACGGAGTTTATTTCTTAGAATTCTGAGTTTATATTTTCACAGAATTGCCAGAAAAAAAAAAAACTGAATTGTGAGATAAAAAGTCAAAATATTATTAAATTTTTTCCCCCTTGCAATTGCGAGTTTATTTCTTAGAACTGAGTTTATATATCTCAATTGTGTGTTTATATCCCACAATCAAGTTTTTTTTTTCCCCTCTGAGAATTGGGTATTTAAATCTCACAATTCTGACGGTTTTTTTTTCTTTGAATTGCAAGTTTAGAACCGTTTATCTCGCAATTCTGAGTTTTTTTCCCCTCAGAATTTAATTAGGAGATAAAAAGTGGTAATTTTTTATTCCTTGGTGGAAACAATTCTCACAATTCTGACTTTTCCCCCTTCGCAATTCTGAGTTTATATCTAACAATTCAGACTTTTTTTCTCAAAATTGTGAGTTTATATCTCGGAATTCTGAGTTTATATCTCCCAATTTTCTCTGAATTGTGAGGAAAAGTATGAATTGTGAGGGGAAAAGGTCAGAATTGTGAGATATAAACTCAGAATTGCAAGCGGAAAATAATTGTGAGTATCAATTACCCTTTTTATACGCTTCCCAGACAATCATGCTACATCCAGTTCCTCACCATATTGTCCTTTTTGGTGTTTTGTCTCTTCATCCGTCTGTTCTCTCGTCTCGCGTCTTTCTTCAGCGCTGTTGCCACTTCTCCCCTCAGATCCCGGTCCGGGGCTGTCTGACCGGTCTGCTTTAAATACTCCAGAAACCCGTTCACGTCGTCACTGTCATGCTCTCGTGTCTTCTTTTTCGGGTTGTGTTTCTTTACACCTGGTCCCTGCTGGATGTGTCGGCCACCAGCTCTTGTTCCTGCTTCTCCTGCATTCGCCTTCAGCTGCTTCCATGGTGTGGCGTCTGCTGCTTTGTGTTTATGGACGTTGTTTGCTCGGGCCCACCTCGTCATTTTGAGTTCTGTTTGACTGAGAGAATAAGTTCATGATCAGATAAATAACATATTTACTATATGCTATAATATATAAACTATTATAACCATATTTCTGCCTATATACCAGAGTCCATATACTAACAAACAATCCATAAACTATAAAAGTGCCATGACAATATACCATGTTGTTCACCATGAAAGTGCTTTGAGATACTATGGTGAATATGGTAAACATTCAGTACCATAGTATACAGCAAAGTATTTCTCACAACACAAAATATATATATATATACATAATAGCATATAGAAAGAACATAACTCTTACACATCTTTAAACCGAAATGCATCTAATTTACAGCAACAATAACTTTTGATACTATGGTAATTTGCCAGAGTCTAAATTTGACCACGGTCAAATTTCACAGATAGCATGAATAACCATAATCAAAAACAGATTTTTGGAAACATTACCCTGTTGTTTCAAAACGGGCGAACATTCGGCAGATAAATCTCTATAAAACATTCCTGGTTAGTGGAAATCTACCTCTTGTAATAAAACATATAATTAATTCAAAATCAAATTAATTTTACACGCTCACCACAAAAGAATATCTTCAGATATCAGCTGTCAACAACAAAACAGTACACGTGTGTTTTTCTGTGTCCCACCAATAAAACCGTCCGGAATGAAACTACAACATGAGCGTTTTGGTTCCCACCGCTGTTGTAAACGGGCCCTCATTGATTGAAGTTCATAGAACTAATTGTCAATCAAGAGCCCCAGGTGGCCAAATAATTAGCAAATCCAGGACGTCTGTCTAGTAGTCGTTTCATATAATATAGTGTCCCTGTTTCCACAAGTTAGCAACTGTTTAAAATGCTGTGGTTAATTTTACTATTTGCATGGCTTTATGAAGGTACACCGATCACACATATCGGTCACAAGTTCTTCAGAAATTAATTATATTCTAAGTTTACATTTACAGATTAAAATAAAGCTGTGTTTATGTTTAAGCGTGGGGAACTCCTGTGGATACGTTGAAGGCCACTGATATCCAGTATGATGAAGGTAAAACTGGGCTGCTTTTTTTAATCAACTAAACTTAATTTATATGACACAATTTCTTTTATCCACAGGATACTCCCCAAAGAGTGGACCGCCTCATCTGATAAAGACAAGTGAAACACAGCTGGGTAAGACATTTGTGTACACGACAGCATGACCCATCAGAGCATTTAGACCTGATTAAATGTTTGTCAATGTCTTCAACAGATTTTGAGGGAGACTATGCCGTACAGGAGGGGGATATCTTGCTACCAGTAAGCCCAAATTATGCTTTTATATTCACAATTGAGATTAGAGTTAGTTGTCATTTAAGGCAAGATACCAAAGATGCAAAGTCTCCATGTAGCCCCCTCGCTCTCCCCCTTCTCTCATGCACTGGTTAATTTTGGGCTGTTTTGCTTCCATAATAAGTCTGGAGAAAAAGCATTTAAGTGTTTGTTTTATTACTCTTTATCGTTTGTCTCCGTAGATTTCGATTACAGTATGTATCTTTAACAGTTTCTCTAAGAAAGAAACTCATACAGGTTTGGAGCAAGTGGAGGGTATAGGTAAATGATGACATAATTTTCGTTTTTGGATGAACCATCCCTTTAAGTAGCATCAAACCTATCTGTATTCTAGTGTTTTCTGATTTACAGAGTGGTAAAAAGACCGTTCCAAAATGCTCTGTAAAAAAACCTTTAACTGTCTGATATGTCAGCAAAATGAAACCAGTTCTTATTTAATTTATATAATACCTCATTTGCATATTTAAACAACATTTCAGAACACTTGTAATACAAAAACAGTTGCCTCTGTTTTGTTTTTTTGTTTTTTTTTAAGACCGATAGGAATGCAGTGAGTGAGCTATGGGCCAAGTTGGATGGAAGTTTGTCAGTGCCTTATGAAATTGATTCTGTTATTGGTGAGTTTCTGCATGTTTGGTGGTATGTTTTCTGCAGATATTACCCTATAGTGTGCTCTAGCAGTATAGTCACAATTTCAATGGTTGGCTCTGTATGATGTGTGTTTAAGTAATAACAGGTGAAGATGCATTGATATTCAGAGAATTTGTTTGTTTCTGTAAATGGTCTTCAGAGGGCAGGACTAAGGACATTCTTAATGCCTTTAATATGATCTCCAAGAAGACCTGCGTCAGATTCCGTCCACATACTAATGAAACTGACTTTTTGCACTTTGAATTGGGAAATGGGTGAGTCACAGATTTTAGTTTGACTAGAAAAAAAACAAACCTCATTTATAGGGAGTTTAATTCATTGTCTTTGTCAGGACACTTTCACTGTATATTTCCATCTTGGAAGAAGTCTGAAAAATGTTCCATCTATTGTCGTCTAATCTAGTTTGCTGTTTCCTAAAGGTGTGCGTCTTACGTCGGATGTAAGGGGGGTGAGCAGCCTCTTCTGATTGGGCCAAAATGTAAAGTTGGGAACATCTGCCACGAGATCCTTCATGCCCTCGGCTTTCACCACGAGCATTCCCGCTATGACCGTGGTGATCATATCACTATACTTAAAGGAAACATTGCCTCTGGTACAGTATGCATACCATTACATTAATTCAGCATTTCAGCACAGTTTAATTGCCAATGGAATTCCTGTCATAATTTATAAAACTAAAGGGCTCAAAGTGGAGTCCTCTAAAATCACATTCTATAGATGCACTGAAATTCAAATGGGAATTTCAGATTTCCAGTAGCATTTTATTTGATTCGAAGATACCTTTTTGATCCCATTGGGGTTGGTTCCCAATTATACTTTTATTACGTTAGCGTTAAAGGGATAGTTCACCCAAAAATTAAGATTACCCTATGGTTTACTCACCCTCACACCATCCTATAGGTGTATATGACTTTCTTCTTTCAGACAAATACTATCGGAGTCGTATTTTAAAAATGTCGCAGCTTTATAATGGCAGTGAATAGGGGTTGAGATTTTCAAGCAAAATAAAGTGCATCTATTTATTTATTTTTTTTTAAAAGGTACTCCACAAAGCTCCGGGGTGTTAATAAAGGCCGCCTTAAGTGAAGCCATGCTTTTTATTTATTTTAAGAAAAATATCCATATTTAATAAACCGTAATCTCTAGCTTCCGCTAACTGTCATACACGCGTTCACGAGAGAGTGCCGTTCCAGCGGATGTAGGGTGTAGCGTAAACTCCGGTTAGAATATGCTAGTCTCGCGAGAACCAAGTTTTGTTTACTAAAAAGGAAAACCAGTCTCCTCTTGGCTTATATCGAAGTCATCTGATATTTTTCTTTACAAATCCTCGTTTTGTACTTCTGATTCGAGACTGGTGTTTTGTTTTGCTCTCTCTTCTTAAATTGACATCTGGCACACTTTAATACCCTTTGAATGGAACACGCAAGCTACCTTCGAACTGGAATCATGGCAGAATATCCTGTGTAGTCCACTTCGCACTTACCGTGTAATTAACTTTACAGCTAATTTAGTCTGTGATTTGTAATTGAACTTTTGCAACGTATTTCACCATTTAAAAAAAATTTTTTTTTTAAAAATTCACATATGAAGTAGTCAGAAAAATCAAAGTATTCTCTCAATATAGGCTTAGAAAGATATTTAAATGCTTAGTTTTATGATCTCTGTAGTTTATTATTATTATTGTGGCGGGGAAAGCAATGCAATACAGTGAGTGAGAAATGAACAAATAAACCATCCTCAAAAGCTTGATTTGATCATATTTGATACTCACATTTAACATGATTTAAAAAAAATAAAAATAAAAAATAGTGGATGATCAAATCAGCTTCAGTCCAGTAAGTGTTCATCTTAAAATATTGATAACTAAATAAAATTCTTGTTTTATGAAAATCTGTAACTATTTCACTGCAAAAAGTATGTGTACCATGACCTGAACGGGTCACTGATACTAAAAGGCCTTTAACTTACGAACCATCAATCAGACGACATAAGGCATGCAGTAGATTGAGTACGACAGGTTTTCCAGCAAAGTTTTGATCATGTTGATCATTTAGGGGCCTTAGAAATTTGAGTATCAAATATGATGCAGTAGGCAGCCAGTAAGGGTTGTGGAGTATTAATGCATCAGTTACTGGTTGTACTGCCCACTTTTTATTTTACAGGGAAAGAGGATAATTTTTTGAAGAGAAATGGGAACACCTTTGGTCTGGAGTATGACCTGGAATCAATTTTGCATTATGGAAAGTAGGTGTTCCAGTCGAACCGTATTCCGTAGTGTGCATGACCGTCTGCGTGCATGAAGTCATATTTATGATGTGCGTTTGGCTGGCTGAACTGTTCATTAGACATGTTTTTGTTCTGTTTTGCAGCAATTATTTCTCTCGCAATGGAAAACCCACAATTCAGCCCAAAGACAGCGGTGTAATTATTGGCCAGAGGACTCACTTGTCTGATCTGGATGTGCAAAGGATCAGGAAGCTGTACCACTGTGGTACGTCATGTGCACTTATCATACCAGGGTTATTATAGTTAACTCAAACTAAAATCATAAAATAGATGTTACTTGAAATAAAAGGTTAACTAATGCAAAATATAAACTTAAAGCAATATTTCATCCAAAATTTGCTAAAAATGTACTCCCCCATCCAAGATGTAGATGGTTTGGAGAAATGTAGCATTACATCACTTTCTCACCAATGGATCCTCTGCAGTGAATGGGTGCCGTCGGATTGAGTCCAAACAGCTGATAAAAACATCACAATCCACACCCCTCCAGTCCATCAGTCAATGTCTTGTGAAGTGAAAAGCTGTGTTTGCGCAATAAATCCGTCATAAACATGTGTCCTCTCACATCAAAATTCACCAACATATTTGTTTATTACTGTTTCTCTCTTGATTCAGATTTATTTTTTATTTTATTTTTTTAAATGGAGAAAGCAATATTATGGACTCGTATTTTAGCCAGAAGCAGCGGTTTGACGTTAAAAACGTCCTATTTATTCTAAACTTTTAGACTGTTTCGCTTCACAAGACATTAATTGATGGATTAGAGTGGTGTGGATTACTTGTGGATTTTTATCAGCTGTTTGGACTCCTTCTGACGGCACCCATTCACTGCAGAGGATCCATTGGTGAGCAAGTGATGTCATGCTACGTTTCTCCAAATCCGTTCTGATGAAGAGAATATATTCGATCAGATGGCAAATTACAAAACTTCAGAATTTGCAATATAAAAATGGAAAGGCATGTGTAGTCCAAGAAATTGTGATCCTGTCAAACATTATGACCTGCTAGCGTTCTGACGGCTGAGGAGAGAAATTGAACAATCAATAGCAGTATCTCTAAAAGACCTGATGCAGTTATGTTTTTTTTAATTTTTGCCTTACCGTTGTTCTGTGACTTTGACTTTCTCCATTTCAGACAAGGGACAAAACAAGGTTCAAGTGACGTGTTGATGTGTCCAACCTCACAACTGTTCTGGTCTTGAATGGTTACTTGTTGATGACAGGAATTCTGAATCTAGGAGGACAAATAAAGTTCTGAAGATCGACAAATTTATGGCTCATTCTGAATTTATGCCAATAATATTGTCTAATTTAAAATAAGTTCATTGATTTACAGGCCCTCCAGTCTCCAGTTCTTGTTGTTCTTGTCATTTTTATTTTGTCCAGTAGGTGGTAGTCACTGTGCACTTTCAGTTGGATAATGTGAATGGAGCCCGTGTTGCCAAAGACACGTATGAGGCTCAAATGTACTCTCA